CACGTTCCATCGAAACACCGGTAACAACTATCAACTGGACTGCATGACGTCATATCCCAGAAGAAAACGCAATTCGAGACTCAGTTTCTTCTGCAAGTTAGGAACTGAATTTGTGGCTATCATTCAGACAAACATATTCTTTAAGTGGCTGACTTCTTCAGGTTAGCTTAAGCTGTAACTCGGTAGATGACCGGTTCGAATATTAGTTGTGACATCGACTATCCTGGGGTTTCTCGTGGTGCTTCCTAATCCTAACCAGGAAAAGTGCAGGAAGAGAACCTCAAATTAACCCTTCCATGCACATCGCCACCAATTTATTATTCGCTTATCATCCTATATTCCGATGCCACGTATTTCCAGTTACTAAGTACAAGATAAATAAAACAAATAAACTTATGGTCCCGGAGCGATGCGAAGTTCCGTCAGCATCTTGTGTACTGGGACACGAATATAAAGCGAAACGTCGAGGCGTTGACGGACGCTTGTACGGCTGCGGTCTCTTCTCGGGCCTGTACGGCTTCTATCCACCCAGAGGTTGTATCAATTTAGGTCTCCACACAATCGATTAAACGTCCGATACAATTTCGCGACCTCTGTCGAGTTAATTCAACCTGTGAGCGTGATTCTGCGGAACCAGAATTCTTCATGGCCATATTCACAAAGTCCGCCAGTGGACCCTATCCGAAGCCAGTCTGATAGGCCTAAACCTGCAACTGATGCCTGAGCTGGAAGGGATCAGTCGGTATAGAGATGCGCTGGCCGACCGACAAATCAAGATCAGATCCTCGATACATGCCCAAGGGCACACCTGGGTAAAAATAAAGTTATCCAATTTGCTTAAATAATTTAACACTACGCCAAGAAGGTGCATGGGGGAGTGTATCTATAGTTCCACGTTTTCTTGACCTCGACAGTAATTGGAGGTGAGCGATCAGCTTCACAGCCCGGTCACTTTATTCCCGGGGAAAAATTCCCCCCCGGTACCCATTGGATAGGAGGCAGGGTGTACCGCAGAACCGGTCTGGACGACGTGGAGTAGTGAAAATTTTCGCCCATACAGGAATTCGAACATGGTGCTTCAGCCCGTAGCCCGTCGCTATACCGACTACGCTACGCCGACTGATACACGGGAATATTATATTGGGGGTTAAATTTGGGGGCGTGAAACCGCAGTGCCGAGATTAAGATGCGTGGAGCTACACTTCGACTCCCCCTTACGTATTCATGGCAAGGTGCTTAACTAACAGAAGCACCTTTACCTTTCACCTTCACCTTTACTATACCCAACTTACAGAATACTGCAGAATCTTGGGGAAATGAATATTATTAAGATGGCACAGAAATCCCGTGCTTTTGAGGATCCCGGATATTCATCACAGTGTTCACAAAATAAGGGCATGTCAGTCTAGACAGATTCAGTTTCATTCAGTTCACAACTTCACAGCTTATATTTCAAAGATCTCATTTAATATTATTTTTTCCATAGGCACCTCCGTTTCCCAAATGTACACTGACACATTTCCCGACCAATATCTGTGTGCATTTTTTGTTTCCGCCATTTTCGCTTATCTCACAATTCTACGTATGATTAGTCTAAAAGTATCTGGTGGTGAGTACACACGCTGTTGCTCTTGAACATGTGGGCCCAAGTTGTTTTAATTTCTCTGTAAACTGAAACACTTTAAAAATATGGAGCTCACAGGATTCATTATAAACATTAGCCCCAACAGAGGGAGAGTGATTCCAGGAAATTTATTTTTAAATTGTGACAATTCTCTCTTAACACTTTAAAGCACAGTGGTTACTATTATATATCCCCTGCTTTAACGTTACAGTAAACCCTCGTTATAATGGATTTCGTATATAACGGACAAAATCTGGCTGTGTCCAATTGTGAATGTTTAGAGATCTTGAGACACTGAGAAGGTTTTATAATTAGACAGCAATTTGAATTAAAAAAGAACCCCAATACAAAAAACTTTATATAATTACATTATGTGTTCACATTTTTGTTCCAGTGTACTGACTATGTATCCTGTGGTGTATTTCTGTGAATAACCCTTCACTCAGTTATAGGTGACATCGGCGATAACGCCCCCCCCCCCATAATCCGTTATAATGTATTTTTACTGTACAAATGCTCTTAATTTTACTTACAAAGTCCCGACCATATTTGTGTTTTGCATAAAAGCTCACAAAAAACACCTCTTCCATGATCTTTGTAAAGGCGCGTCCACGTTACTCGTGCTCGTGCTCGTGCTCGTGCTCGTGCTCGTGCTCGTGTGACTCGCTATGCTCGCGAGTAATGTGGACGATATGACAAGTCACGAGACAAGCAAATTTTAAAATTTTAATTTAAAAGCTATAGCCAATAAATTAAAATACGACTACAGCCTATACACACTACGAGTAAATATACGGATCCTCACGCGCCGAAGCCTGGCGAACAACTGAAGTAGTGTGGACGAAGATTTACGAGCACAAGTAAAAGCCAGACGAGTCTCCCGACGAGCACGAGCACGAGTGATGTGGACGCGTCTTAATAAAGACGGACGAGAACCTATGTTTTCAACACGGTTTCTCCCATACGCCTTCATGGCGTAGTGCTTAATTAGTTAAGCACAGGAACAACTTTACCTGTACCTTTTTTTCTAACAGACACACCGCGTTTTCTGTGAGTTAGGTACTGACATTTTAAAATATCATTTAAATGTGCTTAGGCTGCAAAGAATTAAGGTGTTGTAGCGCGTAGGGATATTACATGCTGCAACGTCAATATCGGAGTAGACTTCCCACAATGCAGTCCTACCTTAGATCTGATTTGGCTGTCACACTGTATTTCAACACCGTCAACCCTTTCGTCTTTGTAATGGAGACGCGATCATTTTCTTGAAGGAAACCCGACCCCAGATACCGTACTTCTTACGTTATTTTGATTATCATTGCAGTTGAATGACTGATTCATATCCCGGGGATCGCGGGTTCGATGCACGACCACCTAGACATTTATACAGACTGAAGTTTCCTGTATTGACCTACCCCCACGACACTCCTTGGGTAGTTCCTTAAAACACACCCCAACCTGATAACCTATAACATATGAGTAACATACTGCAGAAATTTAAGCGGTATGCGGTATTCAAACACCGGCACCCCAAAGTTTAAACTGTAACGGACAACAACTTCTTCCTTTCACGTGCGTCCGAAATGGCAGTCATCCATACTTTCGATGTTATGTAACCTAAACAGTAGAGAAGGTGTATATAACAAGAGAAAGCAGAGGACATTTATCTTTAGGTCTAACAGTATTTTTATTATTATTAGAGGCGGTGGGTTTCCCCATGCACTTAGACCAGTTATTGGTTCATTGTGCGTCCCCCTTTAATTTCTACTGTCCCCATACCCTACCGGGACTGGTGCGTGCTATCAGCCCCCTTCAGCCAACGAGGTGGGCCGTCGGTACCTGATATTTCCCCCTTCTACCAGAGACATTGGAAACTACTTGGGCGGGAAATTGTTGCCTAATTTTGCTCAGAGGTCTCCTAGAGACATGAGGATCTTTTACGTACAGTAAATCTACGACATGGGACCCACGGCTTAAAGTCCCTCCCGGAGGACTTGTTCCCTGAATTTTTCCGCCCTTAAAAATTCCACGACCTCCGCTGGGTTTGAACCCGCGTACCTTGAGTCATGAGGTGGGAATGTTACCCCTAGATTACGGAGGCCGCTTAGGTCTAGCAGTAAGTCGTTAGCAAAATTTATTTGCCCTAAAATCAGTTATCTTCCTCCTCTTTCCCATGTTAGACCACTTTCCCTATTACGAAAAAAAATAAATAAAAAGCTTATGAGATCACATTGCTATCTGGGTGTCTGTTTATCCCCCTTGTGGTTGACAGGCAACGGATCGGTAAAAACGTTTCAGCGACAGCGAATACACACGCAACAAATTGTTGGAAGCGTCGTCTACTAAGCGGTTCGTGTCCTATGAAGAGAATGTGAACGATCAGTTCTTAACAGAACCTCTTGTCTCTCCTTCCTTGTTTGTTTCACTTGTTCTCCTCTGTTACATTTGTATTCTTCTGTCCTCTCTTTCTTTCTTCACGACTTGTGTCCTTAGCCCGTACCACTTCTTCACTGCGTTCAGGTTGTGCATGTAGCAGCCATCAGCAGACACTTGTCAGGGAGGGACATTACATGGGTTTCTTTTGGACAACGGCCGGAAAAATATCCTTGACCACGGCTCACACCATGATATATATTACTTGGTATCTTGTCTGACATGTAATGGAAGTTGTGTGGGCCGCCGCGTGTCACATGACCATCCTTGTTCCTAGCCTATGTTTACTTCCGGTCCCACATAACCTAAACAGACTATAAAAATCGCACCCTCCCTCTCTCCCTTTATGGCACTTGTCGTGGGGAAGTATGCGCGAAAGAAAGTATTGGATGTGTAGTCGAACAGTGAATCTACCCCCTTCTCCAAAATCACACATTCACACATAACATAAAAAACGCTGTGGCATTCAAGAACAACTCCGTGGCTTTAGTCCGCAAGCGAAATATACCGACCGAGCGACCGCCGCTTGTCGGCGAAGTTAGTGCCAACTTTAGCGGATAGAGGGTGTCACTTGGTCAGCGAAACGGATCCCCACTGCCATTAATCTCGATTTTATAGACCGGAGCCGCTACTTTTCCATTCAAATAGCTACTTAATTATCCTCACGAGGCTGAGCGGACCCCGTCCCAGACCCACTACTTCTCAGAAGATCTGGTAGCGCCGGGAATCGAACCCGGAACATCTGGCTCTGTAGCCAGAAACTCTGACCACAAGACCACAGAGGCGGTCAGTCAAGAAAAACATCACACTCTTATTAATGACTAAAGAACAGAACTTTCTTATGCGGTTCTTACGTGTGATGATCTGGCAACACGCAGCAGCCAGACTTGATTACTCTCCACTGCTGCCTTGATGATTCACCTTTTGCTCTCTTCAATTTCAGGAGGGTCCACAACAACAAACGACGAAACAAGCCCACCTGCTTCGCCACGAGGAGACTCCGCTATCGTCACATCCAACATGGCGGATAATAGACGTAGTCCGTCTTCCCCTGAGGACAACCACTTCGATGGCACAACAGCGGCTACCAGAGAGGATCGCTGTTCTAGTACTCCTCGGAGCAGTCCGGGGCTCTTACCCACATCCTCCCATGCCCCCACAACGGGACACCTCACAACGAATCATCACCACCATCACCATCACCTCAGTAATATCTTGGGCGGCCACTCACATCATCATCCTGCTTTCTTAACAAGTGACTCGTACCTAGGCAGCTCCGGGATACACCTCGCAGGGAGACCCAAATCGCCGCAGCCCTTCAGCGTGCACCAGCACACGAGAGAACACAAGGACATGGAGAATATGGAGATCGAGGAGGACGCAGATGAGGACGACGACTACGATAGTAAAGACGTGAAAAAGGAAAACGGCTCGGGTTCTAGCAATAGTAACAATAGCAGTGCAAACAACAATAATAACAATAACAAGAGAAAGAAGAAAACGCGCACTGTTTTCTCAAGAAGTCAAGTTTTCCAGTTAGAATCGACATTCGATATGAAACGATATTTATCGAGTTCTGAACGTGCAGGTTTAGCTGCGTCCCTACATCTAACAGAGACTCAGGTAAAGATCTGGTTCCAGAACCGTCGCAACAAATGGAAAAGGCAACTGGCTGCCGAGTTGGAGGCGGCCAACATGGCGCACGCCGCCCAGAAGCTGGTTCGAGTTCCCATACTGTACCACGAGGCGGCAGCAGCAGCAGCTGCTGCACTGGGGGCTAGTGCTGGCAGTGGTGGCAACCACCACCACGGCGTCCCACTGCATCACCACCATCATCTGGACGGAGGCAGCGCTAGTGTTGCCACGTCTTCAGCTACTACTATGTCATATCCGCCGCCTCTGTATTACCATCACCATTCCGTGGCTGCAGCAGCAGCTGCGCACAGTTTACCTCCTAGTCCTGTAGCGACCAGAGCGCCATTATCTAGTCTGGTGTAGGAAACAAGAACTACATTTATCAATACAGGATATCCGGATGAAAGGTGTCCAAAATAATTATATCTCAGAAAGCTTTTATTATACATATTTTTTTGGATTACACCATTACAAAGGGAAACTAATAAAGTTTTTTCTGAGTATATAACTTTCTCAGTAAATTTCAACGTGGGCTCCCTTGGTGGCACGACAAATATTCGGATGGTCCAGTATGTTTGGTGTTACCATAGCCACAGCGTCCCTTATGCGGGCTTTCAGGTGTTGCAGGTCGTTGAAAACGATGGTAGACAAAGTTCTTCACATAACCCCACAAGAAAAAAATTCACTGGGGTTAAATCTGGCAACCTAGGAGGCCAAGCGACTGATCCACTTCTGCCGATCTATCTCCCAGCCATCACTCTCGCCAGGTGATTCCTAACATGGTGGCAGAAATGTGGCGGCGCATGCGCGTAAGCCGAGCATGGAAAAGAAAAAACTTACGGGGTTACCCTTTCCGATGACATAAGCCGGATACGTGTATGACAATTAGTTTCCGAGATATACATTTTTTATTTTGGATACCTTTCATCCGGACACCCGATGTATAGTATAGAGCCTGTCACAACGTTCCAGTGTTTTGAGAGCAGGCCCCATGGCTCTCAATAACGTAGGTACACTATGAAGTCTTCTCTGTGGCGTTAATACGGAATGTGGAGACAATCTCCATAGTCATCACAAGGAACTCGCTTAATGAGAGACACAAGATGGAGACAAGTTTCAAACGTACATTCAGACACTTATCAAACTCAAACTAAACAACATTTAGCTAGATGAACTGCAAGACGGGTGACCGTTTTCCTTTAATTTCCTTGCGTCTTGGCTAAGCAACAGTTACCTGGATCAATTATGGGACCTGTCACCACTTAAATCAACCCTTGGTTCGTGGCCAATGAAGATAGGACACCGTTTGGTCTACATGTGTGTCCGTCATAAAATTTGGTCCACTCTTAACATCGGTCAGTGCAGATGGAGGCAAAGGTAAACTCCGAAACTTTGTTAATTTTCATTCCCTATTGCCACGCATGAACATTCACAGCACTTACTGAGAATTACAGACTCTGATTAAGAAATTTTATTTTTATCAAGACCCTACTCATACTGTGTTAAATCCTCTTTGATACAACTATAAAAATCCTTCTTATTCAAAAATTCTACGTATTCGATTTCTTTCATTCTGGTTCGGCACACTAACAATATCATGAAAATTAAACAGTTGCGTCTAGTGTGACTGGTCTAGTGTTCAGCCCCCGTCAAGAGAAGTAATAAGAAAGACGACACGAACCTACTTGGTTTATAAATTCCAATAAAATCTTAACAAACCAATTACAAATATTTTAATGTATTGGAACAGCCACTGCAAACATTTTAGATTTTATACCCAACTGTATATTATAAATATTATATGCATATATTTTAACGTTCAGAACATATATTGTAATAGTAACTTCCAACTGTATTGATGTAAAGTTGTCCCTCTGATAATGGTCTCTGAAGACCGAAACATGTAAGAGCATAAATAATTGAAATAAGAAAAATCTTCGCCAGTCACACTAGACGGAACTGTTTAACTTTCATGAAATTCTATGTAGTTCTCCTAAACCAAGTACTTTTATGAGACGTTAACCATTGACCTTGGTATGGAAATGTTGAAATCATCAGTTATTTAAATAACCACTCTTTAACGTTACAGAATGACAATTTTCGGAAATAGTCATAATTATTTATTTTCAGTGCCAAAATCTACTTAACGAACACGAAAAAAACGTATAAACCGCCAAAGCCGTTTAAATTGACTCCCCAAATATCCTCACGCTAATTCTATAGTAATCATCACCTATTCACCTGAACATAAAATCATGAAGAAAACGAAGGTTTATCACCTTGGCTACAAAATATAAGTGAAAAAGCAACTGTCCAGAAGTGGACTCGCTTTATGTTATATTTCGGAATATATTATAATTTACTCTCTTGCAATAGTTTCTTCATAATTTTATACTATTTCTTATCCATAATAATTTAGAACGTCAGTTTGGTAAACACTGGTATAACTTTTTTTTTGCTTTTCTGAAAGTCTGAAAAATAGGGATGATAGAAACTTTTCAACAATTTCATACTGAACCTGAACATACCTGAACATACCTGAACATTGAGATCTTAAATGAGGTCATCTGCTAAGATCTGAACAGTGTCACACGTAGACATACAAAATGTTATGTTTCCTGCCACCTCTCAACAGTTAAAGGCAAATTATTTGTGAGTTTCCAACAATATAAATCATAAGTTATCAATACCATTGGAACATACCAACGGAAGAACGTTACTGCAAACAAAATCCAACATGGAAAGAGTTTTAACAATTAAAAACGTTTAACAAAATAGGTACATTATTTAGAAACGTGGTGACACGTCCTATCTAATGCATCCTTGACTCTTTCTTCATGTTTCTCATAAAAGCACTCGAATGTTTTTCGTTAAATCCTCTAATATGGAGTGTCCAAATCATTTATTTACGAATTCACCGGCGAAGCGGCAAAGAAAATATCGGCTATCGCGCTGGTAGTCGCCAACGGAGAAAACGTAACTTTACCGCACGCACGTCACGAGGCTTCGTCAACCTTCAAACTACAATGGATGTTCTAATGTGGTGAACCAAAGCAATTGTGAGTTACCTAATGACATTGTAGACATAACTCTAATTCCTGATGTGCAATTTATTTCGTGCCTGCGGATAGATTATTGTGTAATAACTCTGAAAAATACTGACGCCATCAGAACTGCACTGCGGGAGAAACTGTCTTGAAACTAAATATATTTAGAACACCTGGATGTGCTTAAGCAGGAAATTCCAATAAGAATATCTGCATTTAAAATTATATTTTCCCAACAAAATTTCAATTGGGCGTGCCCTTTCTCTTTCTTCCTACATGGCAACCCATAGAAAACAAACTATGCCTACAGAGTATTATGAAGGTTGTGAAAAATATTTAATTTTTGTCAGTGGAGTATTTTCTTTCTACCCCTGATCAACCCCTTTAATTTCCATATTCCGCCATTCACTATTCGCAGTAGCACTATTCAACTTCAACGAAGCCGTCAGCCTCCGAAACGTCATATATATTTTGACACATAAAATGGACGGCATGTAAAGAAAATACCTCCATACTAGTGTGAAAGTTATTTTATGCATCACATTTTGCATGCACGAAACAATTATAATTTAAAAACTGACATCATATTGTTGAGAAATTGTAACACGTGATCCGTTAACGAAATATCTCGTTAGCAGCACTGACCCTGTCAAACTCAGCTGTGGCAATACCGTACACCCCGCCATCTCTCCACAGTTAAAGGAAAGTAGGTGCTTGTGGCTTTCAACAGTAGTGTCCTACGCTGCAGCGGCCATGACATATTATACTTGCAGAAGATTTCTATTAGTAAACATCACGATGCGAAATGTTAATTCGTTGTGTGTGCAAGCTAAAACAACGACTTTGGTTCACTTGTAGGAGAAATTTGCCAACCGGGTTACGTTTTTCACCTCTAGAATTAACAACTTCAAAATAATTAATTGCTCCGATAAAAGTATAAATTCCATAGTTTTATATCTTTAGTAATTAAATAGAATTTTCTTTTGTGAACAAAATATTTTAAAGGATATTGTGTAACACGGTTGCCAGATTTATAATATCTCAGTCTCATATGTATCATCCAATTTTGCTATATGAATATTAATATAAAATAATAAGCACTGTAAATAGCTTATATAGTTGTACAAAAATAAGTGTTACGTCTAGATTTACCCTAGGATATCATAACCGCATACTATACCGTATTCACCCGAATATACTAAGCACCTCGGTTATGAAAGGTTCAACGGAAATGAATAAGATGCGAGTTACGTGTATATTCGGGTAAATGCGGTGAATGTGGCCGATTCACAACACTATCAAGTTATTAATATCTCGCGTTTGTGTAAGTACTGTAATTAAATGTGTGTGTAATAAATGGAAATATTGATAGAAATGAATTTGATTCTCACTGCACATGAGACCTGAAACCGCAATGGTGTCCTACATACTGTGGATAAACATAAGACCCACGAGGCGGCTGTCTCAGGTATCAAATTGTATGTGTGGATTAGAGTATTTTCAGACGTCACGCAGTTTAATCTGGTAGGCAGTATCAAAATTTTGGAGGAACTTGCTATCTCCGTCTTCGGTGAAGAAATTAATATTCATGTTCACCGAGATAAGAACCTGAAATCTCACGAAATATTTCAGTACGGACTGCCACAACCTACTCCATCTCCAGCCGTTCATATTGGGCTACTAGGATTAAGTGAAATATTTCAAAAATTAAACATTACGTGTTTACACCGGATTAAGCGACTTCCTTGTAAACACTTAAAAAGAAGCGTCTTTTCCTACATCTCACATTCAACGTTAAAATTTAAGAGTTGTATTCCAATGGTATATAAAACTCTTGTTACTACTTTCTCTTAGGTTCATATATTTTACTCACTACCCTGTTCGCAAGCACCTCAAAAATCTCCCGTAAGGATAAAGATATAACTAACTTCTTGGATCTGAGCCCTTCTTGAGAAGCTGCCAAATGTGCAGCTACTCAAGAAATTTGCAACACTTTATGGAACCAGAAGGTTCATTACATTCACAAGAACCTTCCACCGGTTCCTATCCTGAGGCAGATCAATCCAGTCCATACCACCTCATCCTATTTCTCCAAGATTCATTTTAATATTATACACCCACCTAACTCTTGATCTTCTCAGTGGTCTCTTTCTTTCCGGGTTTCCCACAAATGTCCTATATGTAGTTATCTTTTCTCTTATTCATGCCATATGCCATGCACACCTCATCCTCCTTGACTTGCTCAATCTGACTCTACTGGCGACGAGTGCAAGTTATGAAGCTCCTCATTATGCAGTTCTCCCCAACCTGTCACTTTATCTTCCTTCGGCCCAAATATTCTCCTCAACACCCTTAGTCTATTTTACGATAAAGATATTCCTGT